CATGATCCCTTCTTATCAAGAGCCTTTACAAACTGCTTCATTAGGCCTAGCTTGATGTGCAGTGGAGGAAAGATGATTTTCTCTCGTTCAACTAAGGGGTCGTTAATGACATTTTTTTCTCCAACGTCCATGTTTTCTGTCTTAAGCCACTCTTTTCTAACCAGTGGTGTGTTTTGTCTCTGCTATCCCAGAGGCACAAGAAGCAGGGATATTTGGTGTAGCCAATTTGCTGTCCAAGTAGAAAGTTTACCATTTTTAAGTCTACACAAATTTTCCATTGATGTTTACGATACTTTATCTTCTCCAAGACCAGAGCTATGGTGTTATATTCTTCTTTCATTTTTGTTGAGTGAGTAATTGGTATTGAACCGTATTTGTTCCCATTGTGTAGAGGACACATTTCAAACTTCGTTTTGAGCTGTCAATAAATAAGCGCCAATCATCTGAAAAATATTCAAGAAGGCCCATTTTTTCCAAGAGTCCTCTAATTTTGAGTTTTGTCCTTTCGTGACAAAACACAAAATTGTCTTCTCGAGAGAAGAAGGGTAGCAGATCCTTTTCTCTTGTACGGTAAAAGGTAATTTTGGTTCCTTGCTCCAGTAAATTTTTCTTCTTCAACCCAGAAGCCAATAATTCAGAAGGTTCTTTTGGCAGGTTGAGATCTCTGGTGAGGTCATTTAACTCATCCTGGTTGAAACATTGAGGAATTGATGACATTCTCTCATAAGCACAGTCACCTTCATTAGGATCAGAGGGATACTCGTCCTCACAGAGCTCTGGTAGCTGGTGAAATGATGGAACTGGCACTTCCTGTGAGTGAGGGACCAGGTGTCTTTCAGAGACTAAATCAGGATAAGTCCACTTGCTACGGTTGTTACGATTGATTCCATTAATATTTACTAGACAGAAATAACAGTCATCAAAGTGATTTTTGGGTTCAATCCAAACCATCGCTACGCCATATTTCAGACTTTTTCTTTTCCCAGTAGTCCACTGTCGTAAATGTTCTGTACAAGTTTTACAGACCTGATACTAAAAATGTAGAGCTGATAGAAAAAAACTGATTTCATATTTGGATTCAGCAACCCAAATATAACTAAAATCAGTTCTAAAATCCTAGGCACCAAAAAAAAAAATTTTTTGTTGACCTGTGTTATTTATTCTTATGTTGTTTAATAAAAGGCATTTATTAGAAAATTTTAAAATTTGATATGTTTCTCAAGTAATAACAGAAAAATTATTTGTGGAGGAAAAATAAGCTAAAAGTTATTACTGTATGAGACTGGACATTTTATTCATTACAGCAGTCAATTTTAGTACCTATAAACTCCATTTCAAAATAGAGTAACAGCAAAAGTCTTAGAGAAATATGGTTTATTTCGAGAACATAAAACATTTTTGGATTAAATTTTGGTAACTGGAATGGTTATGTTTTATTCCAAATTATTAAAAACATTAACATGGTATAAGAGAATATACAGATTTGAAAATCTTTTTTTTTTTTTATTGTTTGCAAATACTGGAAGCATAGCATTCCAATTACAATCTTTAGAATTTCATGGAAGTTATTTTTTGTATAATATTTTAACAGTATTTTGTATATTTATTTGTATGGCATTTTATTGGACCTCAATTTATGTTTTTGTGGAAGTCATTGTTCTACTGGCAAGAAATTCTGTCACACAACTTTATATGTTCTAGATGACAAAAGCAAAGATCTGGGTAATAAAATCTGACACATTTGCATTATTTGAAATTTGCTAGAGGACCCAAGAAAGGTTTTGTATTGATAGCTTGATAAACACATGTCGTGTGCAGTGGAATTTGGCCTGTCTCATTATGGTGATAAAGAACACAGTGAACATGGTTGTAAAAAAGTAAGTTTTGATAAATCTTTATAGCAAAGGATGCTCAAATTCTTGCAAATATAATCTCAGTCAATTGCAGGATAATGTATACATAAAAATAGTTGCAAAGATAGCATTATCATGCCATAAAATATAAAGTATTGATTTTGATTGTCATATTTTCTTGCCAATGGGATATGTTGTATCTAACTTCTAAGTTAATGCCTAACTCTTCTCACATATCAGCTTGTGCCCAATATTGTTTTTCTCACAATGTGGTGAAATTTTTACAGATTATCTATAAGGTATATGATTTACTAGAGACACATGACTGTAATTGTTTTGCAATGGATGTGGCTGTAGAATCACCAATAGAAGTTCTAGAAGCCAAATAGATGTTTCAGATGGTAGCAATGAAGAAATGGCTTTTCAATTGCAATATCTTCTCTGACGTTCAATAGTTTACTTTGCACAATAGATTTGATGACGTTGATAAGCATAGCTCGTAAAGATAAGTACTCGATTACATATTGCATTTTGAACCATATTGCAGCAATAATGCCAATTTACCTGAAACAGGTTGTGGTGCTGTTACTAGTCTGCCGAAAAGAAAAGCTGATAATATTTGCCACTTATGTTGTATTGACAATTTATTCATATCAATTAATCTGTTATAGGATCTCTCAAAATGAGGCATTGCAGCGACATGCACAAGAGAAAACAGGCTTGTAAAAGTTCCACTATGACCTAAACAATGTTGTTCAAAATAAAGAAAAAGGTTATATGGAGAAACTTGTATCTGACAGAGTAACAGTTAGGTGAATAATAACTGTTGTTACAGTTGTTAGTAATGCTATCAAAACATTCCTTCTTAGAAAAGCTGAGTTGGTACAGAAAAACACAATATTATAGAAGTACACAGCCCAACCAGATAGCCTATTACAATTGTCATATGAGTGGAGTAAATAAAAGTGATTTAGCTGATTTGCTTGGTTTATAAATGTAGATATGGATAATACTTGGCAACTGTATAGGTCAGTCCCTAGGTAATAACGTAGGCTTACTGAACTTTCAGCAGCATTACTGCTCAGTTTTTAGTTCAGTATAGCATTGAATAAAAAACACTAGGCCCAACTTCAAATACAAAACACATCGCATGAAACGATTTGACAGATGGGCCGTCGGATAATCAAAGACGAACCGGCAAACGTACGATACATTACGCCTAGAACGTTTTAAGGTATATCGCATGGCAAGTAACCAGTAAATTTGAGAAAGGCCGCAGAAAAATATTCTGGCAAATTTGCTAGAACACGTCCATTTTGTTCATTTTGAATAAAGTTTTTCATGTTTTCCAATTATAAGTTAGTGTTGTTCCCAAAGGCAGCTTTTATGGCAGGTTTTCCTGTGGGAAACCTGCCATAAAAGAAAAAGACAGACATTTCGTAGTAAAAAGAAATGTTCCGACGTCTCAAGACGATAAAGGGCAAAAATATCAAAATTGAACTCAAATTTTAAAAAATTATTATAATTCTGGGCACGAACCATTTAAGATGGCTGTAAGATAAGTATCACTGATTTAAATCAGATAAGTCGACGATGACGATTACACTGTAAAGAAATGCCAGTCAATAACTATTTTATAAATTCATGAAAGAGAGCATTTTAATACTTAAAACAACTTATAATGAATTACTAAAATACACACATTTCACAAGTAATTTCCCATTAATAGAAAACATTTACTATTTTAATACTTTAATAANGTTTTATCCTTCATGCTTCGGCCATAGGTTCTGGTCGAATTGTATATATTGTATATAATCAATTTTGGTTTTCAAATTTGTTTTGTTGTTACTTTAAGTTTATTTTTATTATTTTGTCGGGACCATCAAATTTGTAATCACTTGCCAGTTGCATCTGGATTTGTTGTAAAAAATTTTTTAAGGACTTAATAAATGCCCGGTGCAGGGCGCTCTCTGGGTCTCATGCCTTCTTTCACACTTTCCTATCTTCCTTTCTTTTCACACTTCAAACCTCATGCTTTCTCTTCTTTCCTACTTCCAAGGGCTAAGTCCGTCGCTTAAAAGACGGACAGCTCTCTAATTCTCTTTTTAAAGATGTTTAAAGATGTTGATGTCAATAGGCTCACTATTGTTATCATGTTTTGGATATACCAAGATGGCCTGGCTACCACCTAATCCTTCGTTATTGATTTTCAATGTAATTGATTTGTTGATGTTTTTGCTAGTATTACTGGGTTGTCCATTCTGCTTGACAATCTGTGCATATGTTTTTATTGGCTGTTCAGTAGTTTTGTGGCTTCCTGCTTACTTACATAGTGAGTTGATAACTCCTACTGCTTCATATAAGCATCCAAAGAGACGTGTGGTATAATCTCTTATTTTAATTCTTTGCTTAATCATAATTCCCCTCTTTGAATGCTCGGGACAGATGTCCGTGGTATGGCCCAGAAGCAGTCTGGCCTTTTTTAAGATATTATCTTCGTTTTGCTTGTTTGTGTACAATCTTCAAGTGGCTCAATCACAATCGTTGGGTTTACAGATACAAATTAATACACTTCTAAAGTAGGATCTGTTTGATTCTTATTAATTTTTTAAAAATATCGAATACCATGTATAGTGTAATGTTTGGTATGACAAATGAAGAAAATTAAAGAACATAGTGGAACTGATGTTGTGTGATCCATATGACATGTAAACCAAAACAAAGCAGCTGTGCTACAGCCTGCCAGATTTAAAAATAGATTTCTGGAAATTGGATAATTGGTCTGTTACTATATAATTACATTGAATGCCGTTCTCAATCAAGAAAATATTAATAGATTGATTTCAAATGATATAGATTTTTAAACACTTGCTTAGATTAAAAATAAATTAAATTAGGTGAAGATTTGGCATTACAAATTTACAGCTAATAATTACTGATTGCTTTATATTCACATGTACTTTTCAGTAATGGCATGATAGTTTGGCACTTATCTTATTAGATAAATATAATTTATATTTATTCTTTTATTATAATTGAATTTGACTTTAGTTAATATTGTCAATTAATTTAAAAAATAATAATAATTTTGGAAATGTCCAAAGGTTCATGATTAATTGACTTTTGTATTATTGAATTTTGCAGTTTTAATTTCAGAATTAGCTGAAAAAGAGAAGAAGAAAGATAAAAGTAGAAGTCGTTCTCGTTCGCGTTCTCGCATCAGATCTTTATCAAGATCTCGTAGGAGGTCTCGTTCTCGCTCTCATCATAGGTCTCGTTCAAGTAGACGTTCTAGGTCACGTTCCCATCACAGATCTCCATTACACCGATCCCATTCTCACAACAGAAGGCATTCTCGTTCTCCTGGTCATCATTCTTCAAGATCTAAAGTGCATAAATCAAGATCTCGATCCAGGTAGTTATTTATTATTCATTCAATTACAGATATCCCTTGTACAACATGGTTGTGCTCTAACATGGTTTAGAAATTGGGGAAATTCCCATACAATGTGGTTTCACTCCAACATAGTTCAAGAATTTCTAAATCCTCTGTACAAAAGTTCACAATTTTTAAGTGAAAACTCTGATTTTTTTGTTATTTTCTTATTCAATTAAGAATGTGCATTGTCTCAGATTTGCTCATGGATTTTAGAATATTGAAATTTTTAATTTGTTTTGTGCCTTTTGTAGGGTTTACTTTAACAAAAACTGATAGTGCAATTTTCTTCTTCCTTGTCCTATATTTTCTATTAACCAAGTGTCATCATCGTTGCTTTCAAACTTTAGCCCTTAAGACTGTTACTGTTTTCTTTTTAGATTAATCATCATATTTAGGGAAGTTTATTTAAACATTTTTAAGTAAGTGTTATTAAACTTCTTTTTAATTGTTAGGTAAGTAATTATTCATAAAAGTGACGAACAAAATACAATGGTATCTTGGTACTCACAAATTCTGGAAAAAAAAATTGCTCAGTACTGAGCTGAACAAATGCAATCTGCTAGAACAAATTTTTGATTAATGGCATATTTTTATTTTGTTATCCATGAAAAAATTTTTGTGATAAAAGTAAAAAATAATGAAGATATTGCTGATATTTCTGATCAAGATCAACAAAAATGCTAAGAATATGATGCTTTGTAAAAAGAAAATGTCCTTATTTAATTAAAATGAATATTAACACATAATACAGTACTTTTAATTGTGATTATTAGTTAATTATTGATTGCTTTAATAAACATATTTCTCTTAGTAACAGAAAAATAATTGTATACTTATGTTAACTTTTGGAATGTAACCCTATGTTTTACACTAGTTCTTTGTTTCGTGTGGCATGGATTCGCATAACATGGCACTTTTTTGGATGTAACTATCGTGTTATAGGAGGGATACCTACATTGCCAGATTAAATTAAGCCTCTAGTGGGCCTTAGACAAAATTTAAATTGGGACACCATTTAAATAAGTTGCTTCTAAAGAAATCTTAAATAATGTCACTAATTTTTTTTTAATTAAAAAATTTTTAATAATAATAGAGAATACAAACACTAATACCATAATAATTGTATAATAAAAGAGTTTCTGGTATAACAAAAAAGTATATAAAGATATATAATTATATTTATTAATCAGTCTTTAAAAATTAAAATTTTTCATTTTCAGATTTTCATTTCAGAAAATTGATCAATAACAACTTTTTAATCTAGCAATTTGAGAGTATCTTTTTCTGTAGCAACCTTAGCCTTTCTTGTCCTATTGAATTTCTTAAAGAATTTTTAATAACAGCTCAATCGCAGCTCATCAAAGCTTCTCCATTGAAATGTGGTGAAAGAACTTTTTATTGGTTGTTAGAAATAGGCTTGGTGATATGCATCACAAAAGATAAAATATTGATATGCCAAAATTATACAAAAGAAAGTAGATATTAATCTGATATATAGGTAGGCCTCCTACAACGCTGTACTTTTACAATGCATTTTCGCTCCAACACAGTGGAAAAATGCGGTAATTTTTTTACAACGCGGTTTACGGTATTTAGAAACGAATTATCTTTCACATAACAGAAAAATTGCAATGGATCACATGATAAGAACTGCAATTCGGCATACAGAACTAAATGTCCTTGAAAACAGCTGTTTGTTGCTATTGGCGTGTTATTTATCCCCTTGAAAGTTTCAGGGGAAGACCGGTTTCTAGACAGATGTGCATCAGTTACTGTAAACACTCAAATATATCACTAAATTTTCCATCATTTATACTGTTTTAATAAGTGGGGACAGCAAAAATGGTCCAAAATACAGTATAAACTTCTATTGGGTGTATATTTTTAACAACATAGTGAAGAAAAGTTATTTTTTGCGATTTTTACTGTGCACAAAACTGATTGAAAAAATTTTAGCCATAACAATGCCGAATGAAAAGAAAAAACCGTCGTTAAAAAGGAAATTTATAAACTCTTCAAAGATAGAAATTTTGGATCGAATTAAAAATCAAGAGCGGATAGCTGATATTAGTAGGCATTTTAATTTAAATGAGTCGACTATTCGGTCGACTCATTTAAATTAAGAAATTAATAAAAGATTAGAAATTTGGTCACATCCAGATCATCTATTCTTGCGAAAAATGTTGTTAGTCCAAGAGCACCTGTAATGTAAAAAATAGAACAAGCGCTAATATTATGGGTAGAAGATATGACCAAGAAATGGTTGCCTTTAAATAAAACTGCACTTAAACACAAAGCCTTAAAAATATTTGATAATTTAAAACAAATGGGACAGTTATCAGCTGCAGTGGCGTAGCATGGGTATCAGCCGCCCAGGGCGGAGGAAAATTTCTCTGCCCCCTTATTTAGGTATCTCAATTTAAAAGACTAAAATTCAGTTACGTCACAGAATAAGTAATGAAAAATTCCATGCTCATTTCAATCGGTCCGAATCATAGGTGCGACGAAAATATGAAATGAAATGGTTCAAATTTTTACAAGATATTATTATTATTTATTGTGAAATTTTGCCGCCCCCTAAAAGTGCTGCCCTGCCGCCCCCACTACATTACACCACTGGTCAGCTGATGAAACCAGTGTTAAATTCGTGGCTACCAATGGCTGGTTTGAAAAATTCAAAAAAACGCCATTCAAATGCCAAGTTTTTCTCTTTTTTAGAACCGAATCTCAGTTTTTGTATTGAGTTGGTGTCTCCTATAACGCGATTTCCCACACTGCAGTATTTTCAAGGAATGTATCTACACGTTGTAGGAGGCCTACCTGTAGTCTGTTCATTCTAATTTTAAATATGTTTTTAGATACCCAACAAACTCATTTCAATTGTTATAACAGTCAAAGTGAAAACTAATATTTCATATATTATTAAAGTTTCTGTTGCAATAAAATAAAATAATTTGCATTATAATTATTAACTAGTGTCTCCCTTTCATGCTTTATTAAAATACTAAAACTTTATACTATTGTAAAATAATGATTAAAAAATTCCAGGATAAAATATATTTTAAAAATATAGTATTGAAAACAAACTACAAAGAAAAAAATTAAATCATCTGAATGAATGCCCATTTACAATCACCAGAACACAAGTAACTGTTTAAGGTGATTTTGGCCAATTTTGTGCCTTATCTGTTTGAGACAAAATTGGTTGAAGGATAAGTTGTTTCACTGGTTTTGCTATACATATTCACCTTGTAACCTGGGGAAAAACAATTTTATCTCCAGGTACATCGAAGGAATAAATTTTCAGAATCTAAAGCAGGGGTCGCCAAACTTTTTTAACCGTTGACCCCCAATCACTTTCCAAAGCCTCACATTGACCCCCACCGTAAAGTTTTATTACAAGTGTATATGTATGAGCGAAAAAAAAAACGTTGTGGGTTGTGGTCTCTGTCTAAGCAAAAAAAAAAAGGTTGTGACCTCTTAGCCGCATCGACCCCCTAGTTGCATCGACCCCTGGGGGTCCATATCAACCACTTTGGCGACCCTTGATCTAAAGAGTTAATGCTAGTGGAGTCAACCTTTCTTTATAGACTTTTCCTCACCTATACTTATGCAAATTGTTAAAAGTTCCCATGATGTCAGATATTTGAATTCTGGATTTTTTAATCTTTATTTTACAAAGACATCACAGGCAATTTTAAACAGTTTGTATAAGTATAGGCAAAGTGAGTCTATAAAGAAAAGTTAACATTACTAGATTTCCAATGATTACAAATTGACATTCAGAAGACTTCAAATATTTTTTTTTGTATTTAGCCTTCAATATGTACTGTACACTTTTTTTATTATACTGTTGTGTTTTGTGCTAACATCTATAGAAGTTTTTGCACTAATCTGCAGAACTGGCTGTGGTAAAAATTTAATTTTTTCCTCTATTATTAAATCATTATAAATGTAATTAAAATAACCAACTGAGAGTTTAAAAAAAAGATAGATAAAACCTTAAGGTATTCTTATTCGTTAACTTACAATGTTTCTGCTTATTTTTTATGATTATAATGACACAAATCATCATAGTTGCAGATCTTTGTTTCATATTGCTCTACAGCTTGATACTCTTAGGGAAAAATATTTCCATAAAAATACAATTTTTTTATGATTTTTTTTTATTTTACAAAATATTGATATGATTTGAAAGATGCTCCTGTAATAAACATTTTATTTTTCTTCTGGAATTGCTTTCAACTTTTTTCAATGAAGTTAATTTTCTTACCAAGGCATAAAGCTTTAGTTATTTTAATGATTATGAATAGTGATTCTCAACCACAGTGCCACAAGATTTTTGAAGTGTGCCACAACTGTGAATACCCATACATAAGCAACATCAGATAAGTAGTTCAATTGGTTCTACTTTTTTAGGACACGTTTGGAAATTGTAATCGGTGTTACTGGTAACTGCTGGTAGTTACCAAGGCATTTAGAAAGTGTGACCTAAATAACCAACCATGTTTAAAAATCACTGTTATGATGTCATCAGTTGTCCTGCAGTACTTACTGAAGTAACTGTGTGTGCCACCAAATTTTTAAATTATTAAAAGTGTACCATGACAAAAAAAGGTTGAGAATCATTGAATTATATAAATAAGAGTAATGGAAAGTTTGTTTTTTACTGTTTGAAAATTTCAAAGTTTAAACTGTTATAATAAATCTTTTTTGTACATAAATAAAATCTTCATAACACTTAGAGAGAAGTATTACATTAATTTTTAATTTTTTTTTATTTAATTAAATCTACATGAATTTAGGTAGATAATATTTATGAATATTTTCAAATAATTAAAATTTCTTATATTTGTAATTTTTATAGGGACCGACATTCGAAACGGTCTCGTAGTCCACATACTCGACATCATAGAAGTCGTAGCAAAAGCAAGTAAGTTCAAAATTAGTTTCAATAATACTCAGTTTTATTTCCCAGCATATACAGATAATTATGATTAAAGATTACACAGATCAACAGTGGTTTTGGTGCCCAGGTATTTTGAGCTGATTTCATATGATTTTGATGTCCTGAATTCAAATATGGCATTAGTTTTTGCCTAGGAGCTCTAATTTTTAAGATATAGCATTTTAGTGAAATATCTGTTTCAATATCTTAAGTTAAATCCATGGATCAAGTAAAAAACTAAACACGGAATTTTTATTATTATATTATGCAAATATTATTCTATACAAAGATAGAGGAAAAAAATCACCAATAAAACTAAACAGTTATATATTGAGGAAGCTTTTTTCCGTGACTTTCGTGAATGTATTTTGGAGCAATCCCTTTTTAAACTCTGCCATCATATGCCATCATATGCCATCATATCCCATCTTCCTTGGTAGCGGTCCTCCATAGTTTTAATATCCTGGTGAAATCTTTCACCTTGTTCTTCACTGGTGTCTCCTAAATTTTCAGGAAAACGGTCTAAGTGACTGTGTAAATAGTGCACCTTAATACTCATATTACACCCAAGGAATTTGAAACTGTTAAGCATCTCGTTTACCAGTTCAACATAATTTTCAGCTTTGCGTTTGCCTAGAAAATTTCTGACAACTGCAACAAATGAAGTCCAGGCTTTTCGCTCAGCTTCATTCATCGAATTTACGAAGGCAAGATCGTTAATGAGTTGTCTTATTTGTGGGCCGTCAAATATTCCTGCTTTAATTTTTTCTATACTTAACTGAGGCATTTTTTCCCCTATATATGCAAAGCATGATCCCTTCTTATCAAGAGCCTTTACAAACTGCTTCATTAGGCCTAGCTTGATGTGCAGTGGAGGAAAGATGATTTTCTCTCGTTCAACTAAGGGGTCGTTAATGACATTTTTTTCTCCAACGTCCATGTTTTCTCTCTTAGGCCACTCTTTTCTAACCCAGTGGTGTGTTTTGTCTCTGCTATCCCAGAGGCACAAGAAGCAAGGATATTTGGTGTAGCCAATTTGCTGTCCAAGGAGAAAGTTTACCATTTTTAAGTCTACACAAATTACCCATTGATGTTCACGATACTTTATCTTCTCCAAGACCAGAGCTATGGTGTTATATTCTTCTTTCATTTTCGTTGAGTGAGCAATTGGTATTGAACCATATTTGTTCCCATTGTGTAGAAGGACACATTTCAAACTTCGTTTTGAGCTGTCAATAAATAGGCGCCAATCATCTGAAAAATATTCAAGAAGGCCCATTTTTTCCAAGAGTCCTCTAATTTCGTGACAAAACACAAAATTGTCTTCTTGAGAGAAGAAGGGTAGCAGATCCTTTTCTCTTGTACGGTAAAAGGTAATTTTGGTTCCTTGCTCCAGTAAATTTTTCTCCTTCAACCCAGAAGCCAATAATTCAGAAGCTTCTTTTGGCAGGTTGAGATCTCTGGTGAGGTCATTTAACTCATCCTGGTTGAAACATTGAGGAATTGATGACATTCTCTCGTAATCACAGTCACCTTCATTAGGATCAGAGGGATACTCGTCCTCACAGAGCTCTGGTAGCTGGTGAAATGATGGAACTGGCACTTCCTGTGAGTGAGGGACCGGGTGTCTTGCAGAGACTAAATCAGGATAAGTCCACTTGCTACGGTTGTTACGATTGATTCCATTAATATTTACTAGACAGAAATAACAGTCATCAAAGTGATTTTTGGGTTCAATCCAAACCATCGCTACGCCATATTTCAGACTTTTTCTTTTCCCAGTAGTCCACTGTCGTAAATGTTCTGTACAAGTTTTACAGACCTGATACTAAAAATGTAGAGCTGATAGAAAAAAACTGATTTCATATTTGGATTCAGCAACCCAAATATAACTAAAATCAGTTCTAAAATCCTAGGCACCAAAAAAAAAAATTTTTTGTTGACCTGTGTTATTTATTCTTATGTTGTTTAATAAAAGGCATTTATTAGAAAATTTTAAAATTTGATATGTTTCTCAAGTAATAACAGAAAAATTATTTGTGGAGGAAAAATAAGCTAAAAGTTATTACTGTATGAGACTGGACATTTTATTCATTACAGCAGTCAATTTTAGTACCTATAAACTCCATTTCAAAATAGAGTAACAGCAAAAGTCTTAGAGAAATATGGTTTATTTCGAGAACATAAAACATTTTTGGATTAAATTTTGGTAACTGGAATGGTTATGTTTTATTCCAAATTATTAAAAACATTAACATGGTATAAGAGAATATACAGATTTGAAAATCATTTTTCTTTTTTTTTTTTTTATTGTTTGCAAATACTGGAAGCATAGCATTCCAATTACAATCTTTAGAATTTCATGGAAGTTATTTTTTGTATAATATTTTAACAGTATTTTGTATATTTATTTGTATGGCATTTTATTGGACCTCAATTTATGTTTTTGTGGAAGTCATTGTTCTACTGGCAAGAAATTCTGTCACACAACTTTATATGTTCTAGATGACAAAAGCAAAGATCTGGGTAATAAAATCTGACACATTTGCATTATTTGAAATTTGCTAGAGGACCCAAGAAAGGTTTTGTATTGATAGCTTGATAAACACATGTCGTGTGCAGTGGAATTTGGCCTGTCTCATTATGGTGATAAAGAACACAGTGAACATGGTTGTAAAAAAGTAAGTTTTGATAAATCTTTATAGCAAAGGATGCTCAAATTCTTGCAAATATAATCTCAGTCAATTGCAGGATAATGTATACATAAAAATAGTTGCAAAGATAGCATTATCATGCCATAAAATATAAAGTATTGATTTTGATTGTCATATTTTCTTGCCAATGGGATATGTTGTATCTAACTCCTAAGTTAATGCCTAACTCTTCTCACATATCAGCTTGTGCCCAATATTGTTTTTCTCACAATGTGGTGAAATTTTTACAGATTATCTATAAGGTATATGATTTACTAGAGACACATGACTGTAATTGTTTTGCAATGGATGTGGCTGTAGAATCACCAATAGAAGTTCTAGAAGCCAAATAGATGTTTTAGATGGTAGCAATGAAGAAATGGCTTTTCAATTGCAATATCTTCTCTGACGTTCAATAGTTTACTTTGCACAATAGATTTGATGACGTTGATAAGCATAGCTCGTAAAGATAAGTACTCGATTACATATTGCATTTTGAACCATATTGCAGCAATAATGCCAATTTACCTGAAACAGGTTGTGGTGCTGTTACTAGTCTGCCGAAAAGAAAAGCTGATAATATTTGCCACTTATGTTGTATTGACAATTTATTCATATCAATTAATCTGTTATAGGATCTCTCAAAATGAGGCATTGCAGCGACATGCACAAGAGAAAACAGGCTTGTAAAAGTTCCACTATGACCTAAACAATGTTGTTCAAAATAAAGAAAAAGGTTATATGGAGAAACTTGTATCTGACAGAGTAACAGTTAGGTGAATAATAACTGTTGTTACAGTTGTTAGTAATGCTATCAAAACATTCCTTCTTAGAAAAGCTGAGTTGGTACAGAAAAACACAATATTATAGAAGTACACAGCCCAACCAGATAGCCTATTACAATTGTCATATGAGTGGAGTAAATAAAAGTGATTTAGCTGATTTGCTTGGTTTATAAATGTAGATATGGATAATACTTGGCAACTGTATAGGTCAGTCCCTAGGTAATAACGTAGGCTTACTGAACTTTCAGCAGCATTACTGCTCAGTTTTTAGTTCAGTATAGCATTGAATAAAAAACACTAGGCCCAACTTCAAATACAAAACACATCGCATGAAACGATTTGACAGATGGACCGTCGGATAATCAAAGACGAACCGGCAAACGTACGATACATTACGCCTAGAACGTTTTAAGGTATATCTCATGGCAAGTAACCAGTAAATTTGAGAAAGCCCGCAGAAAAATATTCTGGCAAATTTGCTAGAACACGTCCATTTTGTTCATTTTGAATAAAGTTTTTCATGTTTTCCAATTATAAGTTAGTGTTGTTCCCAAAGGCAGCTTTTATGGCAGGTTTTCCTGTGGGAAACCTGCCATAAAAGAAAAAGACAGACATTTCGTAGTAAAAAGAAATGTTCCGACGTCTCAAGACGATAAAGGGCAAAAATATCAAAATTGAACTCAAATTTTAAAAAATTATTATAATTCTGGGCACGAACCATTTAAGATGGCTGTAAGATAAGTATCACTGATTTAAATCAGATAAGTCGACGATGACGATTACACTGTAAAGAAATGCCAGTCAATAACTATTTTATAAATTCATGAAAGAGAGCATTTTAATACTTAAAACAACTTATAATGAATTACTAAATTAGTAATACACACATTTCACAAGTAATTTCCCATTAATAGAAAACATTTACTATTTTAATACTTTAATAATTGAGTTATTGAATTTTTTATATATATTTCTGAATATTAATGATATATATACGTGTATTTTGTAAATATGGATTGCCATCAAGAATTACGTTATAATTTTGTTATCGAACAATTGCGTTACTAGTTACATTTGTTACATAATTTGTGTGGTAAGATTGACTGTGTTCACGTGTTTTCTGGAGATAGCAAATTTACATAATTCATTTATACATTTATATAATCCAAATTTATTAAAATGTGTGTGTATAATCTTTACATAATATTGAAAAATTATTTTTATCTAGGGACCGGGCATCTAAGAAGCATACCAGATCTCGATCTCGTTCTAAATCTCCCTCAAAAAAGAAATCCAGTAAATCTTCCAAGTCGGATTCGAAAAAAGAAAAAGAAAAAGACAAAGAAAAATCGCCGAAGGAAGATAAGAAAAAAGAAAAGGAAGTAAAGGAAACGGCGAAAAAGGAAGAACCTCAAAACGAAGAAATCAAACAAAATAATTTGACAACCGAATTAGAAGTAGCAAAAATAATTGCCGGGATATTAGAGGAAGAAACAAAAAAACAAAATGAGAGTAAAAGTGTCAAAACAGAAAAAAGGTAAAATTTAATTTAAACGCTTTTGTGATTTTTATTTTATTGCCTTTTTGTAATTAACCGTTTTTCTTTCTTTTTATTTGCATTGTAGACATATTACAAAAATTACGATTTTATTTCATCATCTATAATTCTATTGGCTTTTATAATTCGCGTAATTATAACGAAATACAGTGTGTGTCAGAAACATTCGACAGTTTTTAGTATTAGAGAATATTTCAGAGAAACGCATAAATATTTATTATTCCGCGCAGAAACACTTCTCTTTCGGTATTTACTGTAAATAAATAAGACATTAGTAGATGATTTACCCTTTAATTAATATAGTCTGTCTATGGAAAGAATCATCTCGAGAGCTACGCCACTCTCCATGTCGCTTCGGTTAAACCAATCGGCACATACCCTAATGACGTCCACACTCTTCACTTAAAACGTCTGGCAATGTGTGAATTTTATTTTACTTTCTCTCACTAGATGGCAGAACGACTTTTCCATTGTTATAGCATTCATTAACCCCGCGTTTCTTTATGCGCGAGAGTGTAGCGAAATGACGTCATGAACAGTGTTGGCCAATTAGAAACCATTTTCAGTGTGTTCGCTGTAAAACGCTTCTCGAGCGCTGCCTAAAGAAACGCGGGGTAACTGTAAAGAACCGTGCGTTTAACTACTACCATAGTGAATTTCCCGGTATTCCGATACCAGAACCCCAAGCTTCCGTAATACAGTTTAGTTTATAATGGCGGCGACGCGTTTAACAAACCAGGAAGAAACCAGAAATAACCGGCCATCGACTGCCGATGCCTATTGGTTAATACCCGTGTCGATTCTTTCGATAGACAAACTATAGTTAGTTATTAAATATCGGAAAATAAGCCAATTTCCGGCGTCAACGACTACGGGACGACCTGTATTAAAAGTTAGATATATTAATTCCACCGACTTTCTTGACAGAAAATTACCGATAGAATAATTTTAAACGAATTTTAACAGTTTTTCGTCTTGGACTATAGCTTAATTTTCTCAACCTCCTCTAGTTATACAATTTATTCGCCGCCATATCTGATCTATTGTATCGCAGATTTATTACTAAAGACGATAATTTTCTCGCCGGGCGGAGGAAAATTATTAGGAAAATATTCTAATGAAGTACCGTGGGTTTATTTTTACTTAAAAGCTTACTTTTATTTTTGTCTTACAGCGAAGTAAACGAGGCGGAACCGGCGAAAAAAGAGGAAGAAGAGAAACGAAAGAAAAGACAAAGATCGAGGTTCGATTTCATTTTTTACCAATAAATAATTCCAACTCGAGCTACATGCAATAATTATATAAGCGCGTAAACCGAGCATCCGGAATAGTGTTTTTTTTTCTTCGCGTGCGCACAAAAAAAAATTAAACGGGCAGTCGAATGCCGATGGTTTATTCGATTCCGAACGTTCGAAAATCATTCGACTTTCAGAAACGGAAGCTGTAAAAGAAAACGAACGTAGAAAAATTGTTAGAGATTTTTAAACGCGACTCTCTCGTGTTTTTACCGAATTCGACTCGCGTTGGCGTAAACTGTAGTATTTTCTTCGACATACAGTACAGTATATTTTTTTGTTATTAAAATTAACGAGTACGTTTACGGTTTCGTTTAGGACTCCCAGCAAATACTCGGTTTCTCCCACCAAGTCGCCGAAGTACAGGTCTTCGAGGTCTCCCTCCCATCACAAGTCGACCCGATCGAGTTCGCCGTCTCGACACAAGGCCTCTCGTTCTCCCTCGCGCCACAAGTCATCTCGATCGCCCTCGCGCCAGAAGGTGACGCGGTCGCCCTCCCGAAGGAAGACATCGCGCTCTCCCTCCGGGCACAAGGCGTCACGCTCGCCTTCGCGCAAGAAGTCGTCACGCTCGCCGTCTCGACAGAAGTCGTCCAGATCGCCAGGCAGACACCATCGCTCGCACTCGCCGTCCTACGGCCAGAAGCGCAAGTCGCGCTCGCCCAAGCGCTCTTACTCGAAGAGGTCTCCGGCCCGACAGAAGTCTCGCTCTCCCTCCTATCGCTCGTCGCGCTCGCCCAACCAGAGACATCGTCGTTCCTCCCGTTCTCCCAAGAGGTGGTCCCGATCTCCCAGACGACGCTCCAGGTCCAGGTCCCGCTCGGCCCGCAGAGAATCCAAGTACGAACCATTTTACCTATTATTTAACGTGTGTGTGTGTGTATATATGTATGACGCTGATGTTAACGGTTTAAAGAATCGAAAGGAATTGTCAATTTGCTTCTTATCCTCGCGTTACCGTCCGAATCTACCAGCACCGACTTTTGGCTCTACAGAGGGAATTATCCTGCGGATGTGGATAGACGCGGATATATTGTGACAACGATACGCATCGCGGACCGGCCGTATTTGTTACAATTCGGTGGGTTTACGGGCGCCTACAGAAATACCAGCGGTTTTTCGCTGCGAACGTTTGGATTTACGATTAAAATACAGTAGAGCGTCGTTTATCAGAATCAATTGGGGAATGGGGTTGTTCGGATAACCGATTATGTACGAAAATATATATTAACCTATCCCGTGTTGAAATTTTTCTTCGTTGCGTGTTGCTTCGCGTTGAATTTTCGTCGATGTTAAGCCTAACGAAAACTTTTTAAAATAATAATCGTGGCTATTGTATCGTTAAAAATTACTTTTTTATTTTGTACAAATAAAATAAATATATTGAAAAATATAACCAAAAAAATATACTTTAGAAGTTGATCAAAACCGTTCGATTGAACACGACACACACTGCGTTTCTTTAGGCAGCGAGAGTGTAGCGAAATAATGTCACGAGCAGTGTTGGCCAATTAGAAACCAGTTTCAGTGTGTTCGCTGTAAAGCGCTTCTAGTGCGCTGCATAAAGAAACGCCGGGACAGTCTTCAGAAAAACATCACACAAAAGTGCCAGTGCTGCCAGCTAAAACACACACCAACAAAAAAAATATTGGAGTAGCCCAAGATATAGCCAAAGATTGAAGCGTCACAGCAATAGCGAAAATTTAAATTATGTCGACTGGAATGCTTTCGGATAAACGACGCTCTACTGTACTTCAAAATAATTTTTTTATATACATAAAATGTACAGTACGTTGTATTTTGTTCGTTTTCGGGATTTTTCGCAGACGTCGTATTATGTTTTACGTACANGACCCCCAATCACTTTCCAAAGCCTCACATTGACCCCCACCGTAAAGTTTTATTACAAGTGTATATGTATGAGCGAAAAAAAAAACGTTGTGGGTTGTGGTCTCTGTCTAAGGAAAAAAAAAAAGGTTGTGACCTCTTAGCCGCATCGACCCCCTAGTTGCATCGACCCCTGGGGGTCCATATCAACCACTTTGGCGACCCTTGATCTAAAGAGTTAATGCTAGTGGAGTCAACCTTTCTTTATAGACTTTTCCTCACCTATACTTATGCAAATTGTTAAAAGTTCCCATGATGTCAGATATTTGAATTCTGGATTTTTTAATCTTTATTTTACAAAGACATCACAGGCAATTTTAAACAGTTTGTATAAGTATAGGCAAAGTGAGTCTATAAAGAAAAGTTAACATTACTAGATTTCCAATGATTACAAATTGACATTCAGAAGACTTCAAATATTTTTTTTTGTATTTAGCCTTCAATATGTACTGTACACTTTTTTTATTATACTGTTGTGTTTTGTGCTAACATCTATAGAAGTTTTTGCACTAATCTGCAGAACTGGCTGTGGTAAAAATTTAATTTTTTCCTCTATTATTAAATCATTATAAATGTAATTAAAATAACCAACTGAGAGTTTAAAAAAAAGATAGATAAAACCTTAAGGTATTCTTATTCGTTAACTTACAATGTTTCTGCTTATTTTTTATGATTATAATGACACAAATCATCATAGTTGCAGATCTTTGTTTCATATTGCTCTACAGCTTGATACTCTTAGGGAAAAATATTTCCATAAAAATACAATTTTTTTATGATTTTTTTTTATTTTACAAAATATTGATATGATTTGAAAGATGCTCCTGTAATAAACATTTTATTTTTCTTCTGGAATTGCTTTCAACTTTTTTCAATGAAGTTAATTTTCTTACCAAGGCATAAAGCTTTAGTTATTTTAATGATTATGAATAGTGATTCTCAACCACAGTGCCACAAGATTTTTGAAGTGTGCCACAACTGTGAATACCCATACATAAGCAACATCAGATAAGTAGTTCAATTGGTTCTACTTTTTTAGGACACGTTTGGAAATTGTAATCGGTGTTACTGGTAACTGCTGGTAGTTACCAAGGCATTTAGAAAGTGTGACCTAAATAACCAACCATGTTTAAAAATCACTGTTATGATGTCATCAGTTGTCCTGCAGTACTTACTGAAGTAACTGTGTGTGCCACCAAATTTTTAAATTATTAAAAGTGTACCATGACAAAAAAAGGTTGAGAATCATTGAATTATATAAATAAGAGTAATGGAAAGTTTGTTTTTTACTGTTTGAAAATTTCAAAGTTTAAACTGTTATAATAAATCTTTTTTGTACATAAATAAAATCTTCATAACACTTAGAGAGAAGTATTACATTAATTTTTAATTTTTTTTTATTTAATTAAATCTACATGAATTTAGGTAGATAATATTTATGAATATTTTCAAATAATTAAAATTTCTTATATTTGTAATTTTTATAGGGACCGACATTCGAAACGGTCTCGTAGTCCACATACTCGACATCATAGAAGTCGTAGCAAAAGCAAGTAAGTTCAAAATTAGTTTCAATAATACTCAGTTTTATTTCCCAGCATATACAGATAATTATGATTAAAGATTACACAGATCAACAGTGGTTTTGGTGCCCAGGTATTTTGAGCTGATTTCATATGATTTTGATGTCCTGAATTCAAATATGGCATTAGTTTTTGCCTAGGAGCTCTAATTTTTAAGATATAGCATTTTAGTGAAATATCTGTTTCAATATCTTAAGTTAAATCCATGGATCAAGTAAAAAACTAAACACGGAATTTTTATTATTATATTATGCAAATATTATTCTATACAAAGATAGAGGAAAAAAATCACCAATAAAACTAAACAGTTATATATTGAGGAAGCTTTTTTCCGTGACTTTCGTGAATGTATTTTGGAGCAATCCCTTTTTAAACTCTGCCATCATATGCCATCATATGCCATCATATCCCATCTTCCTTGGTAGCGGTCCTCCATAGTTTTAATATCCTGGTGAAATCTTTCACCTTGTTCTTCACTGGTGTCTCCTAAATTTTCAGGAAAACGGTCTAAGTGACTGTGTAAATAGTGCACCTTAATACTCATATTACACCCAAGGAATTTGAAACTGTTAAGCATCTCGTTTACCAGTTCAACATAATTTTCAGCTTTGCGTTTGCCTAGAAAATTTCTGACAACTGCAACAAATGAAGTCCAGGCTTTTCGCTCAGCTTCATTCATCGAATTTACGAAGGCAAGATCGTTAATGAGTTGTCTTATTTGTGGGCCGTCAAATATTCCTGCTTTAATTTTTTCTATACTTAACTGAGGCATTTTTTCCCCTATATATGCAAAGCATGATCCCTTCTTATCAAGAGCCTTTACAAACTGCTTCATTAGGCCTAGCTTGATGTGCAGTGGAGGAAAGATGATTTTCTCTCGTTCAACTAAGGGGTCGTTAATGACATTTTTTTCTCCAACGTCCATGTTTTCTCTCTTAGGCCACTCTTTTCTAACCCAGTGGTGTGTTTTGTCTCTGCTATCCCAGAGGCACAAGAAGCAAGGATATTTGGTGTAGCCAATTTGCTGTCCAAGGAGAAAGTTTACCATTTTTAAGTCTACACAAATTACCCATTGATGTTCACGATACTTTATCTTCTCCAAGACCAGAGCTATGGTGTTATATTCTTCTTTCATTTTCGTTGAGTGAGCAATTGGTATTGAACCATATTTGTTCCCATTGTGTAGAAGGACACATTTCAAACTTCGTTTTGAGCTGTCAATAAATAGGCGCCAATCATCTGAAAAATATTCAAGAAGGCCCATTTTTTCCAAGAGTCCTCTAATTTCGTGACAAAACACAAAATTGTCTTCTTGAGAGAAGAAGGGTAGCAGATCCTTTTCTCTTGTACGGTAAAAGGTAATTTTGGTTCCTTGCTCCAGTAAATTTTTCTCCTTCAACCCAGAAGCCAATAATTCAGAAGCTTCTTTTGGCAGGTTGAGATCTCTGGTGAGGTCATTTAACTCATCCTGGTTGAAACATTGAGGAATTGATGACATTCTCTCGTAATCACAGTCACCTTCATTAGGATCAGAGGGATACTCGTCCTCACAGAGCTCTGGTAGCTGGTGAAATGATGGAACTGGCACTTCCTGTGAGTGAGGGACCGGGTGTCTTGCAGAGACTAAATCAGGATAAGTCCACTTGCTACGGTTGTTACGATTGATTCCATTAATATTTACTAGACAGAAATAACAGTCATCAAAGTGATTTTTGGGTTCAATCCAAACCATCGCTACGCCATATTTCAGACTTTTTCTTTTCCCAGTAGTCCACTGTCGTAAATGTTCTGTACAAGTTTTACAGACCTGATACTAAAAATGTAGAGCTGATAGAAAAAAACTGATTTCATATTTGGATTCAGCAACCCAAATATAACTAAAATCAGTTCTAAAATCCTAGGCACCAAAAAAAAAAATTTTTTGTTGACCTGTGTTATTTATTCTTATGTTGTTTAATAAAAGGCATTTATTAGAAAATTTTAAAATTTGATATGTTTCTCAAGTAATAACAGAAAAATTATTTGTGGAGGAAAAATAAGCTAAAAGTTATTACTGTATGAGACTGGACATTTTATTCATTACAGCAGTCAATTTTAGTACCTATAAACTCCATTTCAAAATAGAGTAACAGCAAAAGTCTTAGAGAAATATGGTTTATTTCGAGAACATAAAACATTTTTGGATTAAATTTTGGTAACTGGAATGGTTATGTTTTATTCCAAATTATTAAAAACATTAACATGGTATAAGAGAATATACAGATTTGAAAATCATTTTTCTTTTTTTTTTTTTTATTGTTTGCAAATACTGGAAGCATAGCATTCCAATTACAATCTTTAGAATTTCATGGAAGTTATTTTTTGTATAATATTTTAACAGTATTTTGTATATTTATTTGTATGGCATTTTATTGGACCTCAATTTATGTTTTTGTGGAAGTCATTGTTCTACTGGCAAGAAATTCTGTCACACAATTTTATATGTTCTAGATGACAAAAGCAAAGATCTGGGTAATAAAATCTGACACATTTGCATTATTTGAAATTTGCTAGAGGACCCAAGAAAGGTTTTGTATTGATAGCTTGATAAACACATGTCGTGTGCAGTGGAATTTGGCCTGTCTCATTATGGTGATAAAGAACACAGTGAACATGGTTGTAAAAAAGTAAGTTTTGATAAATCTTTATAGCAAAGGATGCTCAAATTCTTGCAAATATAATCTCAGTCAATTGCAGGATAATGTATACATAAAAATAGTTGCAAAGATAGCATTATCATGCCATAAAATATAAAGTATTGATTTTGATTGTCATATTTTCTTGCCAATGGGATATGTTGTATCTAACTCCTAAGTTAATGCCTAACTCTTCTCACATATCAGCTTGTGCCCAATATTGTTTTTCTCACAATGTGGTGAAATTTTTACAGATTATCTATAAGGTATATGATTTACTAGAGACACATGACTGTAATTGTTTTGCAATGGATGTGGCTGTAGAATCACCAATAGAAGTTCTAGAAGCCAAATAGATGTTTTAGATGGTAGCAATGAAGAAATGGCTTTTCAATTGCAATATCTTCTCTGACGTTCAATAGTTTACTTTGCACAATAGATTTGATGACGTTGATAAGCATAGCTCGTAAAGATAAGTACTCGATTACATATTGCATTTTGAACCATATTGCAGCAATAATGCCAATTTACCTGAAACAGGTTGTGGTGCTGTTACTAGTCTGCCGAAAAGAAAAGCTGATAATATTTGCCACTTATGTTGTATTGACAATTTATTCATATCAATTAATCTGTTATAGGATCTCTCAAAATGAGGCATTGCAGCGACATGCACAAGAGAAAACAGGCTTGTAAAAGTTCCACTATGACCTAAACAATGTTGTTCAAAATAAAGAAAAAGGTTATATGGAGAAACTTGTATCTGACAGAGTAACAGTTAGGTGAATAATAACTGTTGTTACAGTTGTTAGTAATGCTATCAAAACATTCCTTCTTAGAAAAGCTGAGTTGGTACAGAAAAACACAATATTATAGAAGTACACAGCCCAACCAGATAGCCTATTACAATTGTCATATGAGTGGAGTAAATAAAAGTGATTTAGCTGATTTGCTTGGTTTATAAATGTAGATATGGATAATACTTGGCAACTGTATAGGTCAGTCCCTAGGTAATAACGTAGGCTTACTGAACTTTCAGCAGCATTACTGCTCAGTTTTTAGTTCAGTATAGCATTGAATAAAAAACACTAGGCCCAACTTCAAATACAAAACACATCGCATGAAACGATTTGACAGATGGGCCGTCGGATAATCAAAGACGAACCGGCAAACGTACGATACATTACGCCTAGAACGTTTTAAGGTATATCGCATGGCAAGTAACCAGTAAATTTGAGAAAGCCCGCAGAAAAATATTCTGGCAAATTTGCTAGAACACGTCCATTTTGTTCATTTTGAATAAAGTTTTTCATGTTTTCCAATTATAAGTTAGTGTTGTTCCCAAAGGCAGCTTTTATGGCAGGTTTTCCTGTGGGAAACCTGCCATAAAAGAAAAAGACAGACATTTCGTAGTAAAAAGAAATGTTCCGACGTCTCAAGACGATAAAGGGCAAAAATATCAAAATTGAACTCAAATTTTAAAAAATTATTATAATTCTGGGCACGAACCATTTAAGATGGCTGTAAGATAAGTATCACTGATTTAAATCAGATAAGTCGACGATGACGATTACACTGTAAAGAAATGCCAGTCAATAACTATTTTATAAATTCATGAAAGAGAGCATTTTAATACTTAAAACAACTTATAATGAATTACTAAAATACACACATTTCACAAGTAATTTCCCATTAATAGAAAACATTTACTATTTTAATACTTTAATAATTGAGTTATTGAATTTTTTATATATATTTCTGAATATTAATGATATATATACGTGTATTTTGTAAATATGGATTGCCATCAAGAATTACGTTATAATTTTGTTATCGAACAATTGCGTTACTAGTTACATTTGTTACATAATTGTGTGTGGTAAGATTGACTGTGTTCACGTGTTTTCTGGAGATAGCAAATTTACATAATTCATTTATACATTTATATAATCCAAATTTATTAAAATGTGTGTGTATAATCTTTACATAATATTGAAAAATTATTTTTATCTAGGGACCGGGCATCTAAGAAGCATACCAGATCTCGATCTCGTTCTAAATCTCCCTCAAAAAAGAAATCCAGTAAATCTTCCAAGTCGGATTCGAAAAAAGAAAAAGAAAAAGACAAAGAAAAATCGCCGAAGGAAGATAAGAAAAAAGAAAAGGAAGTAAAGGAAACGGCGAAAAAGGAAGAACCTCAAAACGAAGAAATCAAACAAAATAATTTGACAACCGAATTAGAAGTAGCAAAAATAATTGCCGGGATATTAGAGGAAGAAACAAAAAAACAAAATGAGAGTAAAAGTGTCAAAACAGAAAAAAGGTAAAATTTAATTTAAACGCTTTTGTGATTTTTATTTTATTGCCTTTTTGTAATTAACCGTTTTTCTTTCTTTTTATTTGCATTGTAGACATATTACAAAAATTACGATTTTATTTCATCAACTATAATTCTATTGGCTTTTATAATTCGCGTAATTATAACGAAATACAGTGTGTGTCAGAAACATTCGACAGTTTTTAGTATTAGAGAATATTTCAGAGAAACGCATAAATATTTATTATTCCGCGCAGAAACACTTCTCTTTCGGTATTTACTGTAAATAAATAAGACATTAGTAGATGATTTACCCTTTAATTAATATAGTCTGTCTATGGAAAGAATCATCTCGAGAGCTACGCCACTCTCCATGTCGCTTCGGTTAAACCAATCGGCACATACCCTAATGACGTCCACACTCTTCACTTAAAACGTCTGGCAATGTGTGAATTTTATTTTACTTTCTCTCACTAGATGGCAGAACGACTTTTCCATTGTTATAGCATTCATTAACCCCGCGTTTCTTTATGCGCGAGAGTGTAGCGAAATGACGTCATGAACAGTGTTGGCCAATTAGAAACCATTTTCAGTGTGTTCGCTGTAAAACGCTTCTCGAGCGCTGCCTAAAGAAACGCGGGGTAACTGTAAAGAACCGTGCGTTTAACTACTACCATAGTGAATTTCCCGGTATTCCGATACCAGAACCCCAAGCTTCCGTAATACAGTTTAGTTTATAATGGCGGCGACGCGTTTAACAAACCAGGAAGAAACCAGAAATAACCGGCCATCGACGGCCGATGCCTATTGGTTAATACCCGTGTCGATTCTTTCGATAGACAGACTATAGTTAGTTATTAAATATCGGAAAATAAGCCAATTTCCGGCGTCAACGACTACGGGACGACCTGTATTAAAAGTTAGATATATTAATTCCACCGACTTTCTTGACAGAAAATTACCGATAGAATAATTTTAAACGAATTTTAACAGTTTTTCGTCTTGGACTATAGCTTAATTTTCTCAACCTCCTCTAGTTATACAATTTATTCGCCGCCATATCTGATCTATTGTATCGCAGATTTATTACTAAAGACGATAATTTTCTCGCCGGGCGGAGGAAAATTATTAGGAAAATATTCTAATGAAGTACCGTGGGTTTATTTTTACTTAAAAGCTTACTTTTATTTTTGTCTTACAGCGAAGTAAACGAGGCGGAACCGGCGAAAAAAGAGGAAGAAGAGAAACGAAAGAAAAGACAAAGATCGAGGTTCGATTTCATTTTTTACCAATAAATAATTCCAACTCGAGCTACATGCAATAATTATATAAGCGCGTAAACCGAGCATCCGGAATAGTGTTTTTTTTTCTTCGCGTGCGCACAAAAAAAAATTAAACGGGCAGTCGAATGCCGATGGTTTATTCGATTCCGAACGTTCGAAAATCATTCGACTTTCAGAAACGGAAGCTGTAAAAGAAAACGAACGTAGAAAAATTGTTAGAGATTTTTAAACGCGACTCTCTCGTGTTTTTACCGAATTCGACTCGCGTTGGCGTAAACTGTAGTATTTTCTTCGACATACAGTACAGTATATTTTTTTGTTATTAAAATTAACGAGTACGTTTACGGTTTCGTTTAGGACTCCCAGCAAATACTCGGTTTCTCCCACCAAGTCGCCGAAGTACAGGTCTTCGAGGTCTCCCTCCCATCACAAGTCGACCCGATCGAGTTCGCCGTCTCGACACAAGGCCTCTCGTTCTCCCTCGCGCCACAAGTCATCTCGATCGCCCTCGCGCCAGAAGGTGACGCGGTCGCCCTCCCGAAGGAAGACATCGCGCTCTCCCTCCGGGCACAAGGCGTCACGCTCGCCTTCGCGCAAGAAGTCGTCGCGCTCGCCGTCTCGACAGAAGTCGTCCAGATCGCCAGGCAGACACCATCGCTCGCACTCGCCGTCCTACGGCCAGAAGCGCAAGTCGCGCTCGCCCAAGCGCTCTTACTCGAAGAGGTCTCCGGCCCGACAGAAGTCTCGCTCTCCCTCCTATCGCTCGTCGCGCTCGCCCAACCAGAGACATCGTCGTTCCTCCCGTTCTCCCAAGAGGTGGTCCCGATCTCCCAGACGACGCTCCAGGTCCAGGTCCCGCTCGGCCCGCAGAGAATCCAAGTACGAACCATTTTACCTATTATTTAACGTGTGTGTGTGTGTATATATGTATGACGCTGATGTTAACGGTTTAAAGAATCGAAAGGAATTGTCAATTTGCTTCTTATCCTCGCGTTACCGTCCGAATCTACCAGCACCGACTTTTGGCTCTACAGAGGGAATTATCCTGCGGATGTGGATAGACGCGGATATATTGTGACAACGATACGCATCGCGGACCGGCCGTATTTGTTACAATTCGGTGGGTTTACGGGCGCCTACAGAAATACCAGCGGTTTTTCGCTGCGAACGTTTGGATTTACGATTAAAATATAGTAGAGCGTCGTTTATCCGAATCAATTGGGGAATGGTGTTGTTCGGATAACCGATTATGTACGAAAATATATATTAACCTATCCCGTGTTGAAATTTTTCTTCGTTGCGTGTTGCTTCGCGTTGAATTTTCGTCGATGTTAAGCCTAACGAAAACTTTTTAAAATAATAATCGTGGCTATTGTATCGTTAAAAATTACTTTTTTATTTTGTACAAATAAAATAAATATATTGAAAAATATAACCAAAAAAATATACTTTAGAAGTTGATCAAAAACGTTCGATTCAACACGACACACCCTGCGTTTCTTTATGCAGCGAGAGTGTAGCGAAATAACGTCACGAGCAGTGTTGGCCGATTAGAAACCAGTTTCAGTGTGTTCGCTGTACTGCAAAAAGAAACGCCGGGACAGTCTTCAGAAAAGCATCACACAAAAGTGCCAGTGCTGCCAGCTAAAACACACACACTAACAAAAAAAATATTGGAGTAGCCCAAGATATAGCCAAAGGTTGAAGCTCCACAGCACTAGCGAAAATTTAAATTATGTCGACTGGAATGCTTTCGGATAAACGACGCTCTACTGTACTTCAAAATAATTTTTTTATATACATAAAATGTGCAGTACGTTGTATTTTGTTCGTTTTCGGGATTTTTCGCAGACGTCGTATTATGTTTTCCGTACAAATAGCAAAGTTGTTGCGAAGTAACTGCTAAGGAAACGAATGCCATACAAAGTTGTAGGCAAGATTACGGTTACGAAAGTAAGAACCGCTTTAAGAAAGGTTACTTAGGTTTTTGCAGTCAGTCGGCTGTTACGAACAATTTTTTCTTCTACTGAAGCCACGCTACTATAGGGTGATATACGGTTTCGGTGATATAAGTATTACCTGCCGTCTAATAGGTTTCGGACGTTTAGGTAAGGGTGCCAGACGGAACCTAGTCGTACCCGTGTTTTCGTTTATTCATACGTTATAGTGGATTTCGATAATTTCTAACCTTCGTATAACTCGCGTTTGGTAGTGTCGAAGTCGTCCACGCATTTGCAACAAAATAGAACGTACCTTTTAAGTATGTATAAAAAGTAGTTTTGAAGTATTTTAATCGTAAACCCAAACGTTCGTAACGAAAAACCGCTCGTATTTTTGTAGGCGCTCGTAGAGCCAAAAATTGTGCTTGTAGATTCAAATTGAAAGGAAATTTAATATTACGATAGGAAATCGATCATAAATCTGATTAACGGCCGACGGTAACGTCATAATATTCGTTCTTATCTTGGGATTGCCGGCCTCACAAAAACTTCCGTAAAGATACTCCGTATCCGACTCGATTGTGTAAATGTTTATCGTTTCTCGTTTTTACTTATTGTTTTCCGGTTTGTTTTGTCGTCTTCCGACGTTTCTTATTACGGGTCGATCCCCGCTAATCCGGCACCTTGCCGGATTACCGACGGTAAGTGGGAACGCGTCGGTTAACGAGGGAAAATTGAAAAACTGAGCGAAATTATAAGGAAAGGTGGGTGAAATAAAGGTTAAGCTTNCCATACCTTGTAGGGTTTCGGAAAGCCCGGACCCGATAAATATAGAAATTTGAAAAATTCGTCTACCGGATTCCGTTAAAATTGCGGCTCTTGGGAAGTAATTCTCTGCCGGTTGGTAGGTTCCGAAGTCCAGTTGTCACCCTTTCCGCCTTTTAAAATTCGAAGATGGAGGGCGCGAGCAAATGCGAATTTTCAGTTCTACATTATTAATATAACCTGGTTTCGAATTTCTATATTTATCGGGAGCGGAGATGCCGGTCGCAACGCGCCGTATTTATTTAATGGTTCCGGCGGGTTAATTTCAACAGAGTCGATTAATTTTTACAGACACAAGAAGAAGAGGGAAGAGGGACAATCGGAAGAAAAGGACAAAGAGAACAAGAAGAAGAAGAAGGAGGAGACGTCGCATAAGGAGAGTAAAGTGGTGCGGGACTACGACGAGGAGGAAAAGGGCTTCGACAGCACTCCCGAAGAAGTGGTCCGGAGACCCCCGGAACCGCCCGAATTTCCCCAAAACGAGAAGCGACAAGATTCTCTCTCCCCCGTCAAAGTGGAAACCAAGAACAGCGACAGCGAGGGCACTGATCACAAGCCCGGCGACATGGACCTGGATAGCGACTGAAATGCCGCCTCACTGCCCCGCTTTATATTTTAATATCGTGTAATCGCTTAATTATTTAATCAATAAAATTTATTAAGCCACGTCCCAACCCCGTATTTTACGAAAATAAATTGCCAAAGTGTATTCCTGGTGATTACGAACGAGTAGAAAGTTCTTGCAGTTTTTTGAAATAGAATAAAACGTTAATTAGTATTTGTGTTTAGCTGGTAAAACGGGGATCCCTTGCATAATCTGTTTTACAGATCCCATCGTGCCACGAAAACGGAACGCGAAATTATTAATAAGTTGATCGTGTACTTACATTCAAAAAATTATCTTTTAATTTCGTATAGAACACTAAGATACGAAAGCGTGGTAAAAATTTAAGAATAAAAATTTAAAAAATGCCATTCAATATTTTGTTAAATCGAAACGATGTTTAAAACGAGAAATGCGGGTTGCCCCGAAACGACTAGCTTATCCGCCGTACCGATAAAGTAATTACGTAAGAAACGAAGAAATCTTTGCTCGTATCGCTAAATTTTCTCGCAAATATAATAATAATGGCAAGAACTACGAAATCCGATTATACGTTTCGAAGTTATTCGTTTGCTACGACGTACTAATTTGCTTTTCTACGAAGACCGCCGGATTCTACATATTCCCCCCATGTTTGTGACGTAACTACCGCGCCAGTTTTTTACTAATATATTGATATTTAGAGAACTAAAATATGTCTTTAAATGTAGAGAGGAGAATATCCGTTCGTCGTTACCCTCGCCTTACACGTAATCTTCGAAAGCAATTCGAGGAAGAAACGTATCGTTCGGATGCTGCGGCAATAACGGACTAATTAAATTATCGATAATCGGCTGGATTATTCGGTAAACCGGTATTTACGTGGGTAAATCCTTAAAGTAAACCGTGTAATAATTACTTTCTTTTTACAAATTTATACTTTATTTTTAATTTCAGTAAAATTCTAGTAGTTGAATTAACGTAAAAGTCGTCGGTCTATTTAGGAAGCTCCGACAAAAAAATATATATATATATAAGTACTTACAACATTTATTATAGAAGTGACGCCATGCGTCATTTTTTAAATTTAAAATTACGCCATTTTGCCAAAATATTTAAAAAATTCGACATAAGGTAAATGACGTCACTCGCGTCGGATTGGATAAAAATACTAGGAGTTATAGGAATCGATGTGCCCATTTTTAAATAAAAAAAATAACAAAGACAAATAATACAGCGAATTAGGAAGTAGCACCATCAATGGAGAAAGAAGACGACAAGCAAACGGACTTTAGTTGTTATATTAACGATAAGCGTTTCGAGTCCCCAAACTCTACAGTTAGGTATTTGAAAATGCGTTAAAATCGTAAACAAGTAATAAAAGTAAAAACACTAACAAAAATAGCAGAATCCCTTTCGTGCAGATCGTCTAGTTTCGTTACTTTAAATATATTTTTTAATTTAAAATGTGAAATTACCCTCCGAAAATCAAACTCTAATAAGTATTATTATGATATAATTTTCGGAAAATTATTTTTTGTCGATAATTTAAAAGGATATTCGAGTCTGTATCGTTTATATATTAAAAATACTCTGTACGAAAATAAATAACGTAAAGTGTGGTAGTTATTATTTCGTAGGGGGGAACTTAAAAAGTACGAGTTTGTTCGACCGTTTACATATTTTAACAAAGAAATAGAAAAAAAATCACAAACTCCCATACGAATAATATCTGCAGACTCCAAATAATTTATAATGCTTCCGTAACTGCCAAATATCCGTCGGCACTCCACGAGATACTAAAAGACGTGTTACCATTTTAACAATTAGGAATAATATGAAAAAGCTGTACGGCTTATTAATATATTTACGAAGAAATAATAAGCGTTATTTGTTATATTTTAATTGTAAAATTAAAGATTTAACCTGGTAATTGGCTTGGTGTAAAAGATACGACGACGGAGACCGGGGCAAAGACGGGGATCGCGGCTTAACTAGACAGTGCCGGCCCGAGGCGAATTTCAGGATGGAGCGAGATCCTATAATGGCGCTCCCCTTGGTTGCCCCTAATTTATACCCTTCAATTTTCTTTACCACTGAGGCGCCCCCTAGGACTTAGCGCCTAGAGCGGCTCCGTTCGCCCAATGGTAGGGCCGGTACGTCTACAATATCCGCCGAACAGTTCTCGACTAATTTGGGAACCCGGCACGGAAGGCGTAGAACCCAAACCGTCTAGAAATATTTTTAAAGAGAAGCGAGCCACATATAGTATCTTCGTTTAGATAATTCCGCCAGTCGAAAATCGTAAACTTTTCCTTGTAGGTCATCCTGGGATATCTCGACAGAAAAAGCCAAAAATTCAAGTGATGTGATATAACGGCAACGTAAAGACGACTTCCAAATTCTTTGTGGATTATAACACCGGATATCGACCGTTCTAATTTAAAAATACATTTAATAAATTAAAACTTGGATTTTCTCAATTGTGTCCAAATAATTTATACCCGCAAATAGGCAGAAGATAACCGTATATCCGGCCCACGATAGAATCAAATGAAAAAGTTTTTAATGACGGACGATTTTAACTTTGAATAAAGTTTTTAATTTCTTGGATAGTCCAAGAAGATGTATAACAATGGTTACAATCAATGTTCCCTCTAAGCTGCGCGGCCGCGCACTGCTCAAATTGTTGCCGCGTAGGTGAGCATGCACACCGATTTGAATTATTGTTTACTTATTTCGCACTCTGTCCGCAACATGATTATTGCTACGTATATTTCAATTAAATACATTAAATCATTGACAAGAGATAATAATTTGTATAAAAGTATGTTTTAAAATGAATTTTAATCTCTATAACTAATAATTTTAATTTTTATAGAAAAAAGTAAGATTTTATATACTGTATATATATGCTCAGAAAAATTTTTGCTCAGAATCTGCTCAGCAAAAATTTGTTTGCTCAGAGAAATATATGTTCCGCTCATCTACAAAAAAAAATTAGAAGGAACATTGCCACCCACCTAAAGGAAAAACATATCTAAAGGCCTATTAACCATCATCTTATCAGCATATGCTAGAGACCCAGAGGCATAGCTACTGTGAAGCAGTTGGAGCAAACTGCTCCAGGCACATATATCATGAGGGTGCCAAATTAGGAACGCGAAATAAAAACTTGTAAAAACATTTGTAAAAAAATTATAATAAAATTTCAAAATTTTCGAACAAAACAAAAGTACAGTGGTACCTCGGTATACGTCTGCTTTAGAATACGTCCAATTCGGAATAAGTCCTGTTTGGACGAAACAAATTTTGTTCGGTATACGACTTAATTCAAGTATACGCGCCATCTATGAACAAGTAGCACTATTGGTGTACTAGACCAGACTAGACGTTCGCAGTGCCGCAGTTTTATAACTTTGTTAAATTTCTTCTCATTTTAATTTGTAAGTAAAATTTTATTAATCATGAATTGCAAAAAGGCAAATGAAAAGCAACAGAAAACTAAAAAAATGACTAGAATCACAATGGAACTGAAAAAAGAGATTGTTCAGAAATATGAAGGTGGCATGCGTGTTCGAGATTTTAACTGTTGCATACCGTATTCCGAGAACGACAATATCGACAATCGTGAAAAATAAAGACATTATTAAATCTGCTAACGCTAACGTTGCGAAAAGAGTTAAATCAATTTCTAAACAGAGATCGAAGACATTAGATCATGATCATGTTGTGAAATTGCTTTTGCTTTGGATAACTGAAAAACAGTGTGCTGGCGACAGCGTATTCGAAGCAATTATTTGCGAGAAAGCTAAAAAGATACATGCTGATCTCATGAAAAATCAAGCAGGAACTAGCCAGGAAAGAAAGGTGTTTAAAGCCAGCCATTTTTTTTACATGAGAACGGATTAGTCATTTTTACATTACTTCTTGTGGGAAAGGCTGGTTTGGTATACGTCC